GCCCCCGAGCTGTGGGGTCTGGCCCTGTAGTATGAAGGGACCAAGCCAGCATATGAGACCTCTCGCAAGCTCACGCACTGTGCGTCAGTGATGCTGTGGCCATGTTTATCAGCTCCCCGCTGCTTGGTGCTCCAAACATCTGCTCCCCAAAGGCCTTAGGACCCTGCAGGCGCTTTCCAAGTAGCAAAGAATGGTCTTGTGTTCATACAGTATCAGGCAGAGAGCATTTTCTTCTCGTCTAAGCCTGAGTCTAGTAGGTACTCAGTGCTAACTGGATTACTGGGTTCACCAGGTGCCCTGTGTGCTTTGCCATATCTGTCTGCCTGTCTGTCATCCATCCATCTTTCCGTCTATCTCACATACTTACATAGGATTTACTGTGTGCCTAGCACTGTTCAGAGCCTTTTTCATGTATGAATTCATTTAAATTCACAGCACTCCTACAGAAAGGTTCTACTACTGTCCTCATTTTACAGATGAAGAAACTGAGGCAAAGATAAACAACTTGCCCTAGGTCACACAGTCAGGAAGTAGCAGAGTCTGAATTTGAACCTGGACACATCAGGCTCCAAAGCCTGGGTTTGTCACGTTGACCTTAAACAGCCAGCCAGTTATTTCTCAAGCAAGAGTGGATCTATTCAAGATCAACAAAGAATTGCAATTTGGGATGTTCATGCTACGGCAAACCACAGGCGAAACCAGAGAGAAAAGAAAGGGCTTGCTTTTATAGAGCAAAAGGCTGGGGGGGGGGGGGGGAGCCTGTTGTAAAGGAAAGTCCAATGGCTACAGTAACAATTCTGGGGGTGGCGGCTCCTCCTTGGCTGGGCTGTGTTGCTTCTCGCTGGCTGGGCTGTTGCCAGGAGGGGAGAGAAATCTTCCTTTAGTAGTAAAAAGGTTGTACTTCCTGCCTGAGATGTAAGCACACCTCTCTTCCTGTTTAGAGTAATTGGCGGTGTATCACAGGGCAGGAGAGCTGCCCCTACAGATCTTCTCGACTTCAATTTAGGTGAGGTTTCTTTTATTAATTCCCACAGTCGTGCTGGCACTGGTGGCCTCTCACCAGAAGCCGTGGGAGGAGTGGTGCTGAGGGACCTCCCCTGTCTATGTGGGGCCGTACCCCAACCTCGTCTGTAACCCAGCAGATGAGACCTGCTAGGGGATGCAGTGAGTTCCAGGAAGGGAGGACCCACAGCTGGCAGTGAGGAAGCCTTCCCAGGGTGGTACAGGCGTGCTGAACTCCTGACCATGGAAACGAAACCAAACCTGGGGACAGCCAGGACAGTTGAGGATGTTGGCCACCTCCCTGTCTGCAGTGCCGAGCCATGTCTGCCACAGAACTCAGCAACTGGAGCTGTGCCCTCGAAAGTGTCCTCTGATCACCAGCTGCTGTCCCGGGGAGGCCAGGCTGGCTCCCTAAGTGGTCCATTATAGGCCCCACTGGCAGACAGGCTGTGAACCTGGGATTTGGAGGTGTCGTGGCAGCCAGATCCCACAGAGCCTGGCAGTCGTGTCCCTAGAAAATGAGAGCTTAGAGAAATGCACCAAACAGGAACCAAACAGCCAGGAAAATTGGGCCATGTTCTCATCCGAGAGCAAATGTCCATTCCAGGGAAGCAGCTTCTAAGACTCCACAAGGCAGCCACACCCTGCCTGGCCCTGGCCAGCCCAGTGCCGCTCACCCCCTGCCTGGAATGTGCATTCCACAACCCCCTCCACTGGCGTAAATCAGCTCGGGCCCAGATTCTTCATCTGGCAACAGTGTCCAGCGAGAATTGAATAATGCTTTTATGGAAAGCAATGATAACTGTTTCCATTTTAGACAAGTAGAAATGAACAAATCAACTTAAGTAAAAACAGTGGTATACATGGAACAGAAATTTGGCAAAATTGTGAGAGTGATACTCAAATGCATTCATTTATTCATTTGTATACTCATCAAATATTTATTGAGTGCTCGCTGTGTGCTGGGCACTGTTGTGGGCGCTTTTCTACAACAGAGGCCAACCCCACCTCGTGTGGCTTCCATTCCCATGGAGGGAGCAGACAATATGCAAACAAGTCACGGTGTTAGGTAACAGTGATGCTGTGAAAGTAAATACTGCAGGGAACAGAAACTGCTGGGAGAGGGTCCTACTTTAGTAAGGTGACATTTGAGCAAAGACACAAATGAAGTGGGGCAGCAGCCTTGCAAATATATCGGTAAAGAGCATTCTAGAAAGAGGGAACTGTAAGTGCCAAGACCTGGAGGCAGCAGCATGCTCGGAGTGTTTGAGGAAGCTGCCTGGCAAAGGCACGATTGGGAAGTACTGGACTAGATGTTCTCCAGTGTGCCTCTGACTCTGTGACATTATAACGTGATCTGGACGGGGACGTTTTCTGGTTTAAGGCCTGGCTGTCTATGAACCTGGCTGCTGGAGGGGTCCTGGGTTTGTGTGGGGAGCACAGGTTCTGCTGACAGAGCCTTGCCTTCAGGATGTCCCTGAAGATGGGAAAATGAGAGGTAGGCCAGGCCCCCTGCGCTGTCTGTTGCCTCCTAGGGGGAGAAGAGTCATTGTTCATGAAATATTTGCTGAGTGATTGCAAGAGCCCCTCAGGGGGCTGGATGTAGGGAACAGAGATGAATCAGATACAGTTCGCGACCGCCAGAGCCCCAGCGTGGGGGAGCAGGGGGCCTGCAGTGTGGCTGGTACTCAGGTGACTCAGGTGTGTGGGTCCAGAGGGCTCTCGTGGTGGGGCTCTGTCCTCCCTGTGGAACCCTGGGAGGCGCTGTAGGGACCTCAGAGAGGTTCATCTCCCACATCCCAGGGCCGCATCGTGGAGCCAGAGTGGAGTGTGGAACATGGAGGGAGAGCAGGGCCAGCTGCATAACTGGGGGGGCGGGGGGGGGGCCGGGGGCAGACAGGGCAAAATGGAAAAGCAGAACCCTCGTTCAAAAAGCAGGAGAAAATTCCTGTTAAAGGGACGTAGGAAGCTTTTTCCTTTCTTCCAAGATCTCTCTCTCAGTGTGTCATGTTGCTTTTCGTTTGCTATTTAATGTCCTTCTAAGTAAGGAAAAATTAAAACTTTATTAGTGTGAATTTTACCATTCATCTTTATATTGTACAATACCAGTTTTACATGCAAATATCAGAGCATTTAACTCACATATAGAATCATGAAATTATGCCATTTGTATTTTGCGGCTTGTTTCCAAAAAGTGCCTCGAGTGGGCCAGAAGGACAAACTCCAGCCAGGCTCGGGAAGGCTGGGAGGAGGAAGAGAGGAGGTACGGGCTCTCTCAGTGCCTGGGCTCTGGGGTCTGGGGAGGTCCAGCCAGGCATCCAAGGGTCTTTAGACCTCTGCCTCAGGATGCGCTCAATCTCTGGGTCAAGGGTGGGCGAGAGGCTCCTTCCTGCCAAGAGTCAGCCTCCAGCGGCCACCCACCAGACACACTTTGATGCTGCCAGCCCAGGGGCTGGGGGAGGCGGGGCGGGGTGGGGGGAACAGCTGACACCGTGCTCCCCTCTGAGATGCCACGGGCACACGTGCCTGACTGACCCTCCCTGTGCTCAGGCCCCTCCTGGGATGGAGGGCTGCAGCAGTTGCAGAGTAGGGGCAAGGAGGGGAGGCCAGTGTTATCCTGGGGTGAGAACAGGCAGGAGAGCGGGCTGCTGAGAGCCTGTCCTGAGGAGACGGTGGGAGGCAGGACCACATGCGAGCTGAGACTCCGTGGCTCCAGGTCTACCTGCAAAACACAGATTCAGGAGTAAAATTATTAAGGCTTTCAAGATGGCAGCGCAGAACATTCAACCCCAAGTGCGGGGCCTTTCTGAGCCTGGGGCCCTGTGGGCCTGCGCCGGTCATGTGCCCATGAAGCTGGCCCTGGGGAGAAGAGCTGAGGTCATTGTTCAGGTCACTTGGCATTTCAGGTCCTCAGTTTCCTTTAGGGCAGATGGGGTGGGAGGCTCGCTGAGGTCCCACGTGGACTGGACAGGGCCTGGGAAACCAGCAGACACCAAGGCCCCTGGGGGCGCTCTCCTCATGGTTCTGCTTCTGTCTCCCCGACTCTCCTGCTTCCTCTGCTTCCTCAGGTTCCTCCCTAACGTTTGCTGGGCATCTACTGTGTGCCAGACACTGGGTGAAGCACTTTGCATTCATCTGATCTTCACAACAGCCCTGTGCTGTGGTGATAATACTGCGCGTACGAATGCTAACCCTGTACCAGCACCCGGCCTCTCAGATGTCACCCTCACCAACCCCATGAGGCGGGAATTGTTATTAGCCCCTTCTGTAGATGAGGAAACTAAGAGCTAATAGGTTAGATAACTATCTGAGTGAACAACTTGTAGGTGGCACAGTTGGGGGTTGAACTCAGGCAGTGGGGTCCCCAGATGCCCCACAGGGGGCCCTGCATTATGCTACCTCCCCCTGCCGCCACATTGACTCCTGGCTTCCGCCCCTCATCCCTCCCCTTGTGCAGGGCCCCTGCGGGTGCCCTGGCTCTGCAGGACACAGCATTTCAGCATCAGCCTCCACCACGCCCAGCACTGCCTCGCCAGGTTCCCAACATAGGGACTCCCACTGGCCCAGCTCACCTCCTCACACAGGTCGCCGGTCAGCTTTTGGAGCAGCTGCTCTACGGGCAGGAACCCACACGCCTCTGGTCTGCTGTGGCCGGACAGGGGAGCAGGGTCACGTGACACAGAAAGAACTTGGCTGCCTGGTGGCTCCTTGAGCAGGGAAGCCATGAAAAGTGATGTCTCTCAAATGGGCTGCGGGATGTGGGGAGCCCAGGGGCTGCCCATCCTGACCTGTCCCATCAAGGCCCAGAGTTGAGGCTTTGTCTGAGGGAGGAGCCGGCACATCCTGACCCTTCTGCTAGGCCTGGGCTTCTGTCAGGAGGGCCTTCCAGTCCTCACTGCCCTCCTGGCCCAGGCAGGGAGAGAGCACAGCGGGCAGTCACTGTGGTCTCGAGGTTGCTCCCTCTCACCTCTTCTTCTCATCCTCCCCCCACATGGCAGAGCTCCGCTTGGAAGGAAACTTCCTGCACCGTCTCCCCAATGAGGTCAGCACCCTGCAGCACCTCAAGGCCATCGACCTGTCCCGGAACCAGTTCCACGACTTCCCCGAGCAGCTCACCACCCTGCCTGCCCTGGAGACCATCAATCTGGAGGAGAACGAGATCGTGGGTGAGTGGACCCAGGCGGTCTGGCCCCTGCGTCTGTCTGCAGTTCCTCCCTTTGGGCTCCCCTTCCAGAGTGAGGCTTGCAGGGCACAAGGCACGGGGCTCTGGAGTCAGACTTTCACAGACACGAGGGCAGGGAGGGGCCTTCTGGTCTGAGATGCGCGACTACAGGGCACTGGGTCTGGGGAGGTCACCTTTATGAGGCCCTGCCACCTGCTTGGCGCAGAGGGCTGGGTTGGACACCTGCTTTCAGCTGGTGAGTAGAAGGTCTCCGCTTTCCCCACGGTGCAGCCCTGGACTAGCTGGGCCGCCTTGGGCCACAGGCTTTCCCTCTCTGGGTCTCCATCTGCCAGCCTAGGCTGCCTCTGAGACCCTTTAGCCTTGTTCCTCTAGACATTTACTCCTACCTGCATCCCCTGCTTGTCCTTCCCAGCCTTCACAGTGAGCTCATCACCATTACTAAGCCGGGGTCACTAGGCAAACATGTTTGGAACAGCCTGTCTGTGCCCTGCAGGATAAATATGCTCCCCCCAGGGAACCAGAAGTTCTCCCCCTCTGGCTCTAAAATGTGCCTTCTGCTGAGGCGGGGGAGTGGTCCCTTCCTTCCTTTTGCATCAGTTATGTACCTTTGGGTCTCCTCAGGGCCTGAGCATCCTCTCCAGCTGCTGTCTCATCTCCCTGGAGAGAACCTGGCATTCACCAGGGTCCCTCCGTGACCCTCCTCCTCGGCTCCCTGCTTTAGCTGCCTTGATGTGCTCAGGAAGCCCACCTCCAGGCCCATTTCCCCCTTTCTCACAACGCCTCTAGTGTTGATGGTGTTAATGATAACCCCCTTCAGTTATGCTTTTATTTTCGTATGCCCGTTCACAACCATTATGCCATTTGATTAAGAGCAAGGGCTCTCTAGTGGTTTGTAGCTGCTTGATGGAGAACAGCCTGCCTTGTGCATGCGGTGGGGAGCCTTGTCTACCTGCCAGCAGGACTCTAGCCCTGGCTAGAGCTAACCTCTGAGATTCTGGGTCCATCCTTTTACAGTTAGGTAAACTGAGACTCAGAGAGGGTATGAGAGACCATCAGGTTCACAGTGAAACCGCAGAAGTGCCAGGATGAGAATACATGACTCCAGCTCAGCCGTGTTCCTGGGAGGGGCTCCCTTGCCTGGCCTCTGGGAAGGCCCTGGGCATGGGCCCTGGTTCAGTCTTGCCCTCCCAACGCCAGGATCCCTGAGTGGTTTGCCCCTGGATTTGGCCCCCTGGTCCTTTGGGCCTCCATGCTGCCTTTAAGTGGAAGGGACATGCCCAGAAGTGCCTTTTCACAGCGAGGTTCTCCCTCCCACGCTGCCTTGACCACCTGGAGTCTTGCCCTGAACCCTTTATTCCCTTATTACCAGGCATTCCTGGCCCTCTTTGCTGGGCCCTTCCTCCTCTGCCTCTTATTTGAGGCCTTCATGATGTGTCCACTTCCTTTTGCTGCTTGTCTAAATGGGTCAATAACCAGGCAGGGGCTACTCTGGGCCGATGCCAAGACCAGAGCCGGGCATGTAGCTGCAGGCAGGCGGGTCAGGACGGGCACTGGCCATTGGCTTCCCCACTTTCTCGCTGCAGTCTTGGAAGACTCACATCTCCTCTCTGAGCCTCAGCTTCTTCTCACCTTTCCCCCATCCCAGAAGGTGGCCCTTCACCAGGCAGGGAGCAGGGTGAGTAGGCTGGCTGCAGTATAAGAAGTGACTTTCCCTAAAGCAGGCAGTACAGGGTGGCACAGATCCCCTAATGCTTCCCCTCCCACAAGGATGACATCAGCCCTCAGTAGTAACAGCCCCCAGAGCAAAGATTGGCTGTTTTGACTCATTCTCTCACATACTTCTCTCTGCCTTTCTGCAGAGGGACAGTAATAACTACATGTGGAAGCATCTCTCAGTTTCCCAAGCATGCTCAGCACAGGCCCAAGGTAACAAGGTGTTTGTCCCCATTTGACAGATGTAGAAACTGAGGCTCTAAGAGATTCTCCTAGGCTTCATAGCACACCTGGCCAGGTAAAAGAGTCAGCCACTGGGCTGTTTCCTAGTCAATTCGACCTGTGACGGAGCCCCCTGCTGCCAGCCTGGGCCAGGCCTGGAGGATATGGAGGTGCTGGGAGCTGCCTCTGTCCGACAGGGGCTCCTGCTTCTCCTCAAGTGCCCAGCAGCTCCCAGACTCACTCAACTGATCCCAGGGCCCCCTCCACTGCAGGAGGCCTTGGGAGTTCTCCCCGCCGCCCCCCCCCCCCCACCCCAACTCCAGATGGAGAGAAGGGGCACGTGGAGTGATCATTCCCTTGCTGGAGTCTCCTCGCTTCTAGTTTCCACCTCTCTCCGATGCATCCTTGTTACTTGGATGGCTACAGGGACGGGCCAGGCCACAGCCTCCATCACTGGGTTGGAGGAGGGAGGGCTGCGACCACAGTGGAGAAGATGAGGGCTGCATAGTCCTTTATTATGGAAATAGCTTTGCACCACTCCCCAGTGTAGCTGATCTGCAGCATCTCATTGGGATAATTGCAGTGGGAGCTTAAGACGCCTGGAGAGTGGCCCTTTTCTCCCTTCAGAGCCTTGAGAGTGCTAGAAAATTTTTTTGAGAAATAAATTTGAGACACATGAGTTCTCTTAAACCTTTAGTTCAGTAAGTAGAGAACAGGCGGCTCTGAACTCGAGCCCCCAAGTGCATCAGGAGACTCCCTCTGAAGGGACCTCCCCAGAGGATGCGACGGGCCTGCCCCAGGAAGACCTGCAGGCTGGCAGCATCCTGGGAGCTGCCAAGGTCAACTCCATCATCATCTTTATGAATAGTGCTGCCACCCAATCTTCCTCTACTCTCTGGGCCATAATGCGGAGAGAGGAGAGAGGGCTCTAGTCCATGGAGGGGAGAAAGGACAGGACCTCAACAGGGCACGGAGGCTGGGAGAGATAGGGAACTTCTGTCTGCTTGCTGATACCAAGCACTGGGAGGTGGTGGTGCCCGTCCTTGGTGCTCACCCCTGGCTGAATGCCCTCAGGTCATATATCTAGGTAGCACATTGTGGCCTTGTTGCTGCCACCTTGTACAGACAGTCCTCTGGTCTATGCTTGTGATGTCTCCATGTCCTCTCATCTCTGGAGCCACCTGCTCTCCGCCCCGACCCAGCATCGAGCAGGGTGTCTGGCATACAGCACGTACTCAGTTGGTTGGGAGCACTGTGCAGAGCAGGAATTCCAAAGCCTGGAAGGCCCTCTGAAATGACTGAGACACAATGGGGCAGATTGTTTCAAGGTGCCGCCTATGATAGACCACTAATGAGTCATCCCATCAAATGAGTAGCTTGAGACCAGCATGTGACAGAGTCCATCATGTAGATCCTGCTTTGTGACTTTTTATTTCACTTTTACTGTGTACTCACACAGATATATGTACTGGGTCATGATAAAAAATATCAAAAGCCACTCCCATGAGTTGCTGTGCAGAGATTTGGGTCTGTTCTCAGCCAGCCCAGCCACCTTTCCCCTCATGGAACATCCCTCACCAACACACACACCATACTTTCGTCCCTCCTCTCCTACCACCCATATCTCTGTCCCTTGTGGTCGCCACCACCTGCGTCCTCCTGGTGACTGATTGTCCAGATTAGAGGGAGGATGTGCAGTGAGGCCTCAGCTGAGGGGATGAGGTCCCCACTCACCCGAGTGTGGAGCCAGGTGGATGACAGGTTCAATGCCACCTGACTGTTTACCCCCAGCCCTCCCACGTTACCCACCCTGCACAGCCTGCATGCTCAATCTGGAAGTCCTTCCTCCTGTCTTACTGTTTTCTCTGCCTGTGGCCACATCCCCGGAGCCTGCAGATCTGAGCCGGTTCAGATGAACATGAAGTAGTGGAGGGCAGGGGCCTCTTGCCTGCCTCTCCCAGCTGGCCTCCTGGCACACACACAGCAGCAGAGGCCGCCATCCACGTGGAAGGGTTCCTGGTCCTTGGGGACAAGCCTGCCGGGGTACGGTTGTTTGCTCTGGGCGCTCCCAAGCAGGAGGAAAGGATTTGTAGCTTAGGGTATTTGTTCAGACGACAGTCAGTTCCAAGTTTCTGGGATATGGGATGGAGCCTATAGTTTACTAACCAGAAAGTGGTATGTGGAAGCTTCTAAGTACTTACAAACAAGACTGCCTGGGGAAGGATAGACTCTGGAGAGAGAGGGGCTACAAAGGTGAATGAGAAGGAGGGAAGCTGCTTCCAGGCTGGGGGGAGGTGTGAGTGGAAGCAGATAGTAAAGTACCAGATAAGACATGGTCGGAGCGCCAGGGCGAGCCCGGGGAGGATGCCAGCAGAGGGCGGCTGTCCTTGTGTCCTTATGAGGTGCCGTGCCCAGGGGAGCCCAGGGAGGGTTTCGGAGGAGGTAGAGGTGTTCAGTCTGACTGTGAGCAATGACATGGGGAGATGAGGGTCACCCAGCTAGTGAAAACCAGGAAGTCCGTTCTTCCACCCCAGCACCGTCACATGTGACCTGAAGGTGGGTTTAGAGGCAACAGGAAGTCCCAGCTTCCTCACAAGAACTCAGTGCTCCCCAGCAGTGTCATCTATTCCTGGAGCACGTGGTGGCGAAGAGCAAGTCAGGTATTTGAGAGGCTTCCTTTTGCTAAACAGGAGACTATTTCCATTAAGCTAGAATTTAACTTTCTGTAACCCTCAATTTGCTGGGTTTTTTCCTTGTGCACGCACTGTTCCAGAGAGAGCAAGAGATCGTAGGAAACAAGCTCTCATTAAGAATTTAACAAAAAGAGCAGTAGCACTTTGAAAAAGAAAATATGTGTGCCGCTCAGGGATGCTCTGGGCTGCATTTAGTTAATTCTGCCCTCGTACTGTTTCACTTCTTACTGTCGAGGCCAATGGTTCTCAAAGTGGGGTCCCAGGACCAGCAGCATCTCCTGAGAACTTGTGAGAAACGCACATTCTCTACCCTGCCCTCCTCAATCGGAAACTTGGGGGAAGGGGGGCAGCAGTT